CTGCTTGTGTTCCCTCTTTCGCTGTGTCTCTCTCTGTCAAATAAATAAATAAAATCTTTAAAAAAAACAAAAAACAAAAAACTCAGTAAGTAGATAATTGCGTGGATTGATTCTTACATTACCTATGTCCCTCAACTATGGACTATCAAGACCCAATATTAATCCTAGTCTGAGTGGCTCCAAAATCTTTAATATATTCAGTCTATGTATGTTCCATTTACCTAGTATCTACAGCTTATCTATAGTTTATCTAGCGACATTGGCCCTTTATGGTAATTAAAATACCTAGGATTATAAAAATCTTTCAATTTTGAAAACTTACATTATTTGGAAACAAAGAAGCACTAGGTGGAATCCAACTGAAGAGGACCAGAAAGGGTTATTAAATTTGACCACTTTATAGTCTGGCTTTCTCATCGCAGACTAACATAAAATAATATGAAAATGTTAATAGGGACGCCTGGGTGGCTCAGTCGGTTAAGTGTCTGCCTTCGGCTCAGATCATGATCCCAGGGTCCTGGGATGGAGTCCGTGCTTCTCCCCCTCCATCTGCCTGCTGCTCCCCCTGCTTGTGCTCTCTCTCTCTCTGTGTCAAATAAATAAATAAAATCTTTTTTAAAAAGTTGATAAATAACATTGTCATTATTTTAATTTAAAGCATGTATACTTGCACATAGCAATGTTTTTACGTATTAATTGCCAACATTTTGGAGCATTTATTATGTGCCAGAAACAGCTTTAAGTGTTCCTAAATTAATCCTCACAACAACTCTATGAGGTAGGTATTATCATTAACCCTATTTTATAGATAAGGAAACTGAAAGCAGCAGAGCTGAGATTCAAACCAGCTGAGATTGCAGATGATTTTTTTTTCATACTTGTACATTTTTGGATTTTAAAAAATCCTCCACAATGTGATGTAATGAGCACTGGGTATTATATAAGACTGGTGAATCACTGAACTCTACCTCTGAAACTAATAATACACTATATGTTAATTGAATTTAAATTTTTTATGAGACTGACGCGCTGCCCACTGCGCCAAGAGGGCCTGAATTTAAATTTTTTAAAAAGTAAAAAATAAAAAAATAAAAAGGCAAAAAAAAAAAAAATCCTCCACAGTGACCATGTAGTATTTTCATAAGCAGAAAAACATTAAAAAAAAAAACTGACTCTAATAAAAGGAAAAAAGAAATAGTTTCATTCACTCTTTGAGCATTTATTGAATGCTATGTCCCTTATGAGCATTTTCCAGATTTCTTCAACCAGGTTTGTTTAATCATTTCTTTGATGTTGCTTTTTTTAAACCTCTTTTATGTCATGAATATATCCTAATATGTTTTTGTTTTGTATTAAATTTGTGTGGTTGTCTTACCTATGACTCAATTCTTGAAGACTGAAAATAAATCTTACCTTGATTCTGTTTATGGATAGTGATTTCTCAGTAAATATTTGTGGGATGCATTGAATTGAACCAAAAATAATACAGTTGTGAGCTGCTAACCCCTGAGTTCTGTGTCAACTTCTCTTCTTCATATGCTTCATCTCAATGCTTGTTAAGCCCAGTGCCATTGTCACCAAAAGCTCATTCATTCAAGATGGGTTTCCTGGCAGAGAAAGAAGTTAGAAAATAGGTCAGGTAAGCTGTCTTTACTGGTCCTAGTCCAATCATTGTTTTTTCTTAGAGGAAGTGGGTGTGAGGCAGGAAGCCTGAGGCAGACTAGAGGACTGAAGCATTATTTAGTAAAGGAAAAAAAAAAA